ACCATCGGTTTTAGTGATTGCAATAGTTAAAAGCACAAGGCTTTGAAGAATACAAATCATGTTTTTTTTTGTTTTTTTTTGTTTTTTTGGCCAACGTACCTGAAAGTCAGCTGTGAATTGTAACATACAAAACTCAATAAAACAAATATATTATTTAGTTTCAAATGCTTTTGTTTTAATTTGTTTTTATGAATATGGACAATATTTTCTGAAAGCAAAAAAGTTTTTCAATGAAAATTGAATTTTTAATACAATTATTTCTTATTTCTTTAATTTTGAAAAGATTTTTAAAAAATGTTTAAATTGAATTTAAAAAAATATTTTAACATTAGTTAAAACTTAAAAGCAACATCAACCTTTCAAAATGTCCGTGTGAGATTGTCATTGTCTAGCGCTTTGAAAATTGTATAATTTGGACCAATCAGATTAGCCATGGTAATTAAGAAATGTAATTTTTGTGTTTATAGTCGGACTGTAATTATCAAGTATGGAAGACCAACCAGAATACAATTTAGTTGCATTATTTGAGTTCAGCATTGTTCTCCGCTGTTAAGCCCTTTACTTTTGCGAAACACTTATGGAGAAGTTAATTTGAGTTTTCAATTTCAACTGAGAAGGGTACCTACAAGTAACAGTATCATCTTATGAAATTTAACTACTGCTAAACTTTAATTTATATGATCTTATTTTTATATTAATCTCAGTTATGACATTTTTTCATAAATGAAATATCAAAATTAATAATAAAATGAATGGAAATACAAATAACACAGTAAAATGTAATAAATGTACATAAAATTATAGTATTTTATGTACACTTCTGATAAAATTTCATAAGAAAGGTACCTAAATTAATTAGATACCTTTTTCTTATGAAATTTAATCTCACTATTAACAGTCTTATTTTTTAATTTCTTTATATTTTCCATAAACCATCGTAAACGTAAAAATAAAAGCTAAGTACAAATAAAAAATAAAAAATTAGAGCGCTGAAAGTTTTCCTTAAAAGTAACAAGGTAAATAATTTGTTCACTTAAATAATTTCACTTCCTTCCATCCGTAGAAAGAATTCTCATCCCGTAAGTTATCTAAACATAGGTACCTCCACGAGATCGCTAAAAAAAAGAGCATAGCATGATGAAAAAGACGCCAAACTTGACGAAAACAAAATTTTATCGTCTAAATGTTTATTATTAAGAGGAAAGGTCAAAGTATTTTTGGGGTATTTTTTTCCATTTTTTAATCGTTCACTAGCACGTCTGAAATTTTCGTTAAAAATCTAGTTTTTTTTGAGTCAGCAAAATTGACCATTTTTTTCCATTTTAAAAAAACTGGAAATCTGACTGAAATTTTTTAAATATCAATTATCATTTTTCAAAACTTATTTTAAGAAAATCAGAAATTATAATGTTTATTTAAAATATTTTGAACTAAACTTAACTTTTGTGCCAAAAAAGATGTAATTTGAAAATAAAACAAAGCAGGTCATAAACTTTCGCGTCTCTTGACATGTGATGAATGATATATTCTGAATTCCATGAGACTAATTTGTTCTACGGAAGGAGAAAAGTGAAATAATTTACATTTACGTGAACAAATTATTTACCCCGTTATTTTAACGAAAACTTTCAGCGGTCTAATTTTTTTTTTTTTTTTGTACTTAGCTTTCACCTTTACGTTTATGATGCTTTATGGGAAATATATTGTAAAGAAATTAAAAAAAACTGTTAAGAGTGACATTAAATTTCATATTTTCTTAAGAAAGGTATCTAATTAATTTATAGGTACCTTTCTTATGAAATTTTATCAAATTATTACATAAAATACTATAATTTTATGTACATTTATTACATTCTACTGTTATTTGTATTTGCATTCATTTTATTATTAATTTTGATATTTCATTTATGGAAAAATGTGTAACTGAGATTAATATAAAAATAAGATCATATAAATTTCATAAGATGATACTGATACTTGTAGGTACCCTTCTCAGTTGAAATTGAAAAATCAAATTAACTTCTCCACACATGTTTCCCAAAAGTAAAGGCCTTAACAGCGGAGAACAATGCTTAACTCAAATAATGCAGCTTAATTATATTCTGGTTGGTCTTCCGTATTTTATAATTACAGCTCGATTATAAGCACAAAATTACATTTCTTAATTACTGGGTATCTTCTGATTAGTCAAAATGATACAATTTACAACAGCGCTAAAAAAGATCTATCTCATAAGGACACTTATGAAAGCCGATCTGACTTTTAACTAATTTTATAATATTTTAACAACTTAAATGTAAAATCTATTATAATTAATGAAATAACAAATAATTGTATTAAAAATTCATTTTCATCGAAAAATTTTTTTTGCTTTCAGAAAATATTGTCCATATTCATAAAAACAACTAAAAGCAAATAAAAGCATTTGAAATTAAATAATATATTTGTTTTATTGAGTTTTGTATGTTACAATTCAGAGCTGATTTTCAGGTACTGCGTATCAATAAAAAAAAAAAAAAAAACATGATTTGCATTCCTCAAAGCCCTGTGCTTTTAATTATTGTAATCACTAAAACTGATGCGATCGAATTTCTAGCGTTTTCATAAAATTAGTTATGGGGGTAATAAATATTTTTAAAAATATTTCTACCATGACTTTCATAAAAAAAAACATTTATAATAATTTCGATCATCTGTGAATAGTTCCTGAAAGTCTCATTAACATCCGATAATTATTTCTATTTTTGCACGATTTTTCAAATTAATGTGTCATACCAAAAAAAACGTGCTAAAAATTGTCTATGTTATTTACTAGTTCGCTGATACAAATAGAAAAAAGTTTTTTTAATCAAAATTTAGAATGTTCTAAAAGGAAAATTTTTTAAAATAATTAAAAAAACTTTGGTCTTTCCTCTTAATAATAACATAAGCATTTAGACAATAAAATTTAGTTTTTGGCAGGGTTGGCGTCTTTTCATCAATCTATGCTCTTTTTTTTAGCGATTTCGTGGAGGTACCTATCTAAACATCATGAATGTGCCTTTTCGTCAATCGTCAAACAACGCGAAAGGTTATGACCTGCTTTGTTTTATTTTCAAATTACATTTTTCGGCGCAGAGAAGCTAAGTTAAGCTTTGTTCAAAATATTTTAAATAAACAGTATAATTTCTGTTTTTATTAAAATCAGTTTTGAAAAAATGATAATTGATTTTTAAAAGAATATCAAAGTAAGATTTTAATCTTTTTTATCAAATCGAAAAAAATGATTGAAAATGATTCTGTCCTTTTTGACCAAAAAAAAAAAAAAAACAAAAAAAAACAATATTTTTAACGAAAATTTCAGACGTGCTACGAACGATTAAAAATGTAAAAAAAATACCCCAAAATACTTTTGATCTTTCCTCTTTAATAATAATATGAACATTAGACGATAAAATTTTGTTTTCGTCGAGTTCGGCGTCTTTTTCATCATGCTATGCTCTTTTTGTTTTACATTTTCGTGGGTGAGTTGTCCCCTTTCATTCTCACGATGTGTCTTAATCGTGTTTTCAAAATGATTTTCTTAAAAAACAACTGTGTTTTTCCCATTTTCGGCCCCGTTAGATCCACTACAAGGTAATTTTATGTAGTCCTGTGAAGTTTTGTTGAAATCGGCTAAAAAATGTAGGAAATTCGATCCAACATATAAACGTTACAGACACACACACACAACCTGCGTTTTATAATAAGTAAGATAAGATGGAGATATTCCATTGTTATGGTAACAGGTAGCATGATTTGATGCCCATATACAAATGTCTAGGGCTGCCATAAAAAGGGAATTTATTTGGAAATAGTGAAAAAAAAACAGGTTGCTAAATAGCTTCTTTTTTGTTTTTCAGGTTAGCCTTCTTACTTTTTTTTATTACTAGCTTTTTTTAATCCATGGAGTAATTTAAAGTGAAATAAATAGATAGCACTAAAATTTAGCACTAAAATTTGAACAGTAGTAGTCAAACATTGATGGCATATTTCTTTTTATTATTATTTGTAATAATTCTCTTTTTTGCTCGTTGTCATTTAGAGACGCAGGATTTGGAAGGGGAAATCTGCGGAAATACCGACAATTGTTTTTTGCAGTAGTAAAAAAAATCTTCATTTCCATCATACAAAAAAGAAAAGCACAACTGACATTGCACATGTATTACAAGTAAAAAAAACAAAGGGTAATCTACTGGAGTAAATTTGCGATTTCTGTGTGATTTCTGTTAGTGTTGGGACATTTTTAGTGGCTCTGTCAAGGAAAAGGTTTAGTGGTTGTTTTGAGGTGGCAGAGTAGTAAAAAAAAAAAAAAAAAAAAAAAAAATAGATTTTTTTTGTTTTTTTATCATAAAAAATATTAACGAGGATATTATTACCAAAAGACACATTGGGTATGTGGTGGGATCGAACATGTTTCATATTTGTTGTGCCAAACTCTAGAAACACCAGAGATGAAATGAGACAAACATACTGCAAGGGTTTTTTACAGTTATGAATGAATAGGATACAATTGAATTATTTAGTGGTGTTATTTTATTCATGAAGTTTTAACTTTTCTTATATCGAAAAACCTTGAAAATATGTAGATGAGATTAAAATGAAAATTGCAGAGGCAGTTTTATTTTGTACATCGAGATCTCTATTCAAACATCATATTTGGAATTTCTGTAGGGGATAAAGTTTATTGCTTTCATTTATCTTATAAATGATTTATTTTATATTCTTTGCAGGTAAATATATTGTAAAATATTTGTGTTGAAATGCTCAAACATATAGTTTTTCATGGTCAAACAAAACAATTCATGTCTTTGCATTTAGGAGTTACATATATCAGTACTGAATTTACGCTGAATTAGTGACCACGTGTTTAGTACAAATGATAGTAACTGTTTTTCTGACTAAATACTTGTTAATTCACCAAAAAATTCAAGTGATAGATAAAGTGACGTAAAATGAGGTATAAGTTAGCATTATTTTACCTGGAGAATTCGATCATCGAGGCCCATTTCATGAAATTGTAAAACTTCGTCTTTATCCTCCATATCGAAGTCGCAAAAGACCGGAAACTAAATAAAGCGGTGTAATTCTTCTTAAAAATACTTTTCCGGTACGCGATTCATTCTGATTTTAAATTTTCTTTTTTTTTTTAATCATGACTAAATTTTAAAATGAATATGCAGTAAGTCATTTGTAAATCTGTATTAAATATAAATATTTTTGGAAATACAATATGATAAAATTATTTTGATAGAAAAAAATTAAGGAAGAAACGGTATGAATTTTAATACTGTTTTTTTTCCTTTAAGCACCGAGTACTTTATCACGCCTTTTTCGCTTTTGTAATGTCTTCAAGTGATTCTAAATCTATTGAAGAAAGAATGGAACCGCCACAGTTTGCTTATCTTCCACCTCCAGGTGAATCTTTACAGATTTACAAACAAGAAGGATTAAAAGAGAAGCTTATTCGAAAAACTAAAGAGAATCCTGCAGTTCCATTTGGTAAGTCAACACTAAAAAGTAAAAACATGATACATAAACTTACATAACTTTCAAAACTTGTCTCTAATCATCATAAAACAAAAATAAAAATGACCAGTATCATTCCAATAATTAAAACTTTCTTTTTGTATTCATCACTTCGTGATCGATATTTTTTCCAACGTTACTTGTTCTAGTTTTCAATTTATTTTAACATGATTTTTTTTTGTGTGGGTGACAGTTTTTTTTTCGGGCCAGGGTCATTGAATGAAAAGTGGAAAACCTTAACAATTTTTAAACAGATGGTAAGAAGAGTTTATTCAAAATATGCATTGAATTGGGCTGAGTATATTGATCGGTACCTGAGGCGTCACCACAAAAAAAGAGTAAGTGCCGAGGGTCTTTAAGCAGTTTTTTTCCACGGTATCGCCGTTGAAAACCCTTTTCTTTTCTTTTTTGACCTTATGTCCCATTCGGTAGCGACGTGGGCGCACTGAAAAATAATACATCACACATTGTTGAATTGGTTCGCGCATAACAGTTGCATGAAGAAAAAAAAAAATAAAAATTACAAATGAAAAATGACGAATCTGACCTTTAGGTTTTTTTTATCCATCGGTAGCAAATGTCATGAAATGTGCCTTTAAAAAAAAATTGAAGCTCTCTCTAGACTAAAACGGATTTTTAATATTTAACACGTGAATCAGGCAGAGTGAAGTTCGATCAGATTTAAACAAATCAGAAAATTAGGATCTAGAACATTTTGTTTTTATTATTTTTACAATTAAACTTTGTTAGCATAAACCAACTCTACAGTACACAATGTTAAAAAGTAAATTAAATTCCTTCATCAAATTCAGATTTTTTTTTTCAGTTCATGTCTATGGTTAAAAAAAAAGATGTGATTTAAAATTAAAAAAACAAATAAAATAATCTCGCTTTTAAGAAATTATATTATTATACCATGCTTATACCATCTCCCTTTCGGGGTGTGGGTGATCATAATTGTCCAGTCCACAGTAAAGACTTCACTGCGTTAGTTTTTCTTGGAAAAGAAGTGGAATGCTTTCCTGTTCCACACTCCATGGTTTTGAATTCAGGACTGCCCTTGTCTAAAACTGGTTACCACCTTGAGAAAGACCATAGCCTGTCCTGTTATTTTTTTTTACCCATAGCCGTTAAGAGATGGATACATACGTACCTTTCCAAGGGGTATTTAGTTGTTACTTTGTTTTTTGGTAAAAGGCCACAAGTATGTGGTACCAAGTGAGGACCGAAATTAATTATACCGTCACTGTGTTGTGTTTATAAAAATAATCCTAGCGTCAAAAATAAGTAATTTAATTATAACAATTATAATTATCATTAATTCTCTCTTTCTAAACCAGTGAGAATAGACTCCACTTTTTTCCTCTACACACAAAAACACGTGACTATCAGACAAGCAGTCAACACAGACAGGCCATCATCACATGTCAACAAAAATTTTGGCTCCTTTTCTTTCTTTCAGACCATAATAACATCTCTTAGCACTCAGTAAAAATTCAAGGTAAAAAAAAAACGCCAGACACTTGTATTTTCCAACTAAATTTTCTGGACACTCATTACACACATCTATAAAAAAAATAAAAATAAAAAAACATACGAGAAAGACTGTACACACTTATTCTTTATTTTATCATTCTGTCAGATTCCAATCCATATTTGATCTACATTTGACCCCAAACTCACAATTTTACTAAGTGTCTCCAACACAACATTACAACCAGATAATAAATAATACTTGTTTTGGTGTTTCCATGTCTTGCTGTTTCTTAATTTTATGAGTATTTTTGTATATATAAATGTAAAGGGTTTATAATTATTTATGCAGTTATATCTCCCCTACATAATGATCAATTGGACTAGCTTCACTATTATGCCATACCAAAAGAAGTGTTAAGACAAAAAAAAAAACTTTTAACCTAATTTTGAACTTTTTCTTTATCAATTTGATTTTTTTGGGCTGTCTTCACCTTTTGCAAGCTTAAAGCTTAAAAAATATGGAAAACAATCATGAAAACTGACTTTTTGCTAAATGAAATATCCTTGATTAATAACATTGGATTAGGGATATTTTAATTTTTCCTTTGTTTTGTAAAAAAAAAAAAATCCTTTTAGTGTGTTTGATTCTTACTAGGTTGTTCACACATTTAGTCTTTTGTTGTATTAAGCTCCTTTTACTAAAAACCTTATTCCATTTATAAGCTTACAGTGTTTCAGATTCTTTGGTTAAAAATGGCTTTGAGCAAATGGAGCCTGTAGGTCTTAATAAGGACCATCCTTTGTCAAACCTTGTGGACAGGTGCTACAGAATCCCAAACAAAGTACCAGATAATAGAAACAACATTATGTGAAAATTCTCAACACTGGTAACAACTAAAATGTGTAGCACACGTAACTCAAATATATATATGGTAGATAAAAGTATAATGGAGACGCTAATTGATGTAGTGGAATAACCAGTCACCCCCATGAATGATTACACTATAGGCAGTAAGTACCTATAAAGTCAACCATCTACGAGAGACTTGAGGAAGAGTGAGAAAGAGAAAACGCAAGCATGTCTGACCTTCCAATTAGTGGCACTCGCTACTAGATTTACGTGTGTGTATAACTGTGCCATATTTCATATTGTACTGGTTGTGTACAATAAACCTTTCTTCTATTATCCACCTGGTGTTAAGTATTTATTCCCTTAGCACGGAATATAACACTAATGTAAAGTACTGTAGTTTTCAGCATATCAAATGCACTTTTTTTTCTTTTTAATAATTTGACACTCAAAATTATTGATTCTTTTTCTGGTGAAGGCCAAGCTTGGAACCAAAATTGTGATCTTTAAAAATCTATCCTATTTGAGGCAGAATCTAGAAAATTTCCCTCAATTTTATTTTTTAAAATAGTTTAAATTTAGGGTGCATCCCATATGCTACAAAATATGGCATATAAAATTTAATAATTTTAACTTAAAATAGGCTATATTTGCATTTACAACTTGAATGAATTTTATTGATTGTTTGTTTTTTTTTTTTAAATCGCAGTTTTTTATTTTACATTTACCGTTAATTGCTTTATTTTATCCCAAGTCAACAAATAACTGAGCTCAAGTTTTACTTCACTGTTTTAAAGACCATTTCTTTTTTCTATATTTCTTCCATATTTTGTTTGTATTCCAATAGGAAATAGTCCTTTTTTTTTTTGTACTATAGTACATCAAATTTTGATGCCTACTGATCTAATCCCTTAATTTCTCCCACTATGAAAAATATCTTTATTTCATTTTAAATATTATTCTTCTATCCTTAAATTATTAAAATTTGAGCGTCTCTTTTTAAAAGTTACAGCCATTATGGTCATTTGCAAATTAATTCATTGAATTTAAAAACTGTCCTTAGTTATAAATGTCATTCTAATCTTTTTAAGTTCTATTTTGTTTGTTTTTGTTTTAATAAATCTAATTTTAATATTTTTGCAGGTATTGCACTGACAACATTTGCTCTGTCTTATGGAATGTGGCAGATGAAAACAGGAAACACCTTAAAATCTCAAAAAATGATGCGTCTTCGTATTTTTGGACAAGGATTTACCATTGTTGCAATCCTGGGTGGTGTACTTTATGCTAGCCAGAAGAAAAGTGTAAAAAACCCATAAATAATACTAGTATATTATTATTATTGCTGTTGTGTTTGAGTATCCACTTGTTTATTATATCAAAATGTAGCCCTTTTCCAGTAAGCTCAAGACCTAGCCATTAACCATATGTAATTGGCTAATGGATATTTTATTTGCATCATATGCATGCTGTATTATTTTTAAAAATTCTTCAAGAAAGTATTATCAATGTTTTGACTAGTATTTCTTTAATTTTAAGTTGTTTCTTGTTGAATTTTCTATGGTTATCAGTAAGCAACATGGATCACAAATGAAAAGTAAATCTCAAGCAAAACTCTTAATTCATGTGTTTTTTTTTTCTTTTGTTTTAATCTGACAGTGTCCTCACTATTAGGCCACAGTTACTGCTATCTAACCATATAACCATTCCTTATCTTCCCTGAATACTTGTTGAATTTTGATCATTTTTTATTTTATTTACATGTGCCAGTGGTATTAGTTGTAATGTTATTTTTTTAGAAGTTCTATCAATTGTTAATTTTCTGATACATATTTTTTTCATCTTAATTTCAGTTGCTTTAAATTGCAACTCTCATAATGTTTGTTAGTAATATTGGTCAGATATAAAGAGTAAGCCTCTGGTTTCAAATTAAAAAATAAATAAATGAACTATGTATATGAATAAATATGGCAATGTATTAAGTAGTTAAAGATAAAGGATGTCTATATGATTATATTTTTAGTGACTGCAGCCAGTAAACTCTGTGGCCTAAGACAGCTTTCATGTTAAGACTGCCTTTCTGAAGAAAGGTGGGTGATTTAGCCATACCAGAGAGTCATTATTTATTTTTGATATGTAATGGAATTGCAGTTTGAGTGTTGCAATAAAATGTATTTGGAAGTAAGATCT